CCCCAAAACCCCAAAACCCCAAAACCCCAAAACCCCTTTTAAATTTTTAAATTAATTAACATCTGACAAATCAGCATTAGATTTTGAGTTTGATTTCACTCGACCTCTAAACCTCTGCTTCACTTTACAAAGGTTTGATGCTGCTATTGAAGAATAATCGATTGTATTCAGGCCTCTTCTGGTCTGTGAACTATCAAGTTCCTTGGTCCTAATAAATTAGCTTAAAATTTACTCTAAATTCTCTGATCGTTTATTAATAGAAACATCAAATTTAACTTTGAATAGGTCTAAGTTCTGCGTATTATAAGCACTTTCCTTCTTGGCTAGCTTACTTTCTTCACCTATGAGAGGTCTTTAGGGTCCATACCTTTAACACTAGGGCTATCAAAGCTATTGAAACTCTTGGAGTCCTTTTGGTCCTCTCTCCGAGGACTGAGAATAGGCTTAATCTCTCGTGTCCCGATCTTCTCAAGGTACACTTCCTTTAGATTAGAGTCATCAGTATCCTTATTTCCTGCACAAGCGCTGACTTCTTCTGGAGGGCTTCAGCTTTATATCTATTTGTTCGCCTGGGTTTTGGGGGTACTCCTTGCTTCTTTCTCTTAGCATTTTTCTATATTGAGCTCCTCGAAGCATAAATTTTCTATCTTTTGGGTCATCTAAGATGTCCTGAAATTTCTTCTTTGATTTAGACCTTTGCGCTGAAAATATCTGCTTGTTCTTTATAACTTGGGTTGCATTTAGATTGATCTTCTTCTTCCTCTTCATGGTCTGGGTTTGGTTAAAAGAAAGCATATTCTGCTTCTGAATTCGGGTTTTAAATCTTGATTTGCGGCATATCTTCTTTGGAGGGTTAAACATTCTATAAAGGAGCCTATTTGATCTTCAGAGCATCTTATCATCAGTGTGCTTATCAAAACCAACAGAGATTTGACTATCTGAGTTTCTTGGTTTGGTGAAATTTTTTGTTTCTACTTTTATTCTGGGTTTTGACTGCTATATTACCACAAGAATCTAAACCTTTTTCTTAGTGCTGATGAATGGATTCATTTTGGATTTCCTGATATATATTTTATGCCCATTGTTCTGATGCCTTCCTCTTTTACACTTATTATTTCATTGAAACTGAGCCATTTAGCTTCTTTTGGTTATTTAGACGTACTAGTGTTGGTGCTGTTGCGAGCAAGCCCACTGAAATACTTTCGAGCAGTGAAGGAACCTCTCAAGTGATTCTTTAATCTGCCAAGAATTGGTTGGTTCCGCCTTCCAGGAGCTTGGTAATCACTATTATTTATCAACAAAGACTAACGTTATTGGCTGTATTTGAGTCTCGTTTGGGAAAAATTCATTAGGAGCTAATCCCTCATTATTTGTATCAATGGAGAGATCTTTGTTTAGCAAGTTATGGTTCACTCTGTAAAATCCCTTCTTTGGATCCTTGAGGAATGTTGAAGTTTTGTTCGAGTAGAATCTATCTTTGATGATCAGAGCTTACTTCTTAGGCTGTTCTTGATTTGATGTTGTAAAGTCCATATTTTGAATCTTTATCGGCATGAACTTGGAATTTCCTACAAAAGTTTTAGCCAGCAATTCTTTAAAGTAATTTGGGAAAATACGAATTTATTGGGCGTTATTGACGCTTTTTCCTTTACTAGAATGATAAGAAATTACTCGGACTCTCACTATTCCTCAGAGATTGAGTTTTAGCTTCCTTCTTTGTGACCCCTTGGCTTAGTCTCAGCCTGTTCCCTCCAATATTCTGTCTCATGGGTGATGTATTTTCAAGCATTTTCTAAATAATGGTTTTAAATAAGAATTTTGAATGGAAAATAAGAAAGAGGAATCAGGCATTGATAAGGTGATTTTTAAAAATCTCTATTTTCGCTTCAAAAGTAGCAGACGGACTAAAAATGATGCTTTCTGAGCTATTAGAATGGGGAAATTATACTAGGAGCAGGTGTTTAGATGGGAATTAAGATGAAGAATTAAGGTGAGTAAGTTAAGTGATTTTTAAGGTTGATAAACGATAAACATGGCTTGCTTAAAGGTTAAATAATAATAGAAACAATTTACTGATGACATTGATAATTTTAGAAACTCTGAAGTGTTTTCAATGGAGTTGGAGATAGCTTTATAAAAATTGTGTCTTTTGTGCTAATCCTGAAATTTGAGATATAGTTTCCTTGTAACTCATTGAATTTGGAAAAATGTCTATTTTATTTCTAAATAATCCTAGCATGCATTACAACCTCTATGCTAACCCAACTGTGCCTATAATTCCAAATGACCTATCACCAGGCTCCTCTAGTGTAATCTCTACAGCCGAGCTGTAGCTTGTTGTAGACCAGATTTGTATTATTTTGGAAAACGGTTTAGGCAGAGAAATCTTCCTTACAATGGTGAAGCTGAAAGATGGCTGTTTAGCAGTGCCAGGCCGCTCTCTATTACGTTTGGTTTGCTTCATTTTTAATTTTAAGAGTTCTATAATAATTTTTGAGTTAGGGGTTTTGGGGTTTTGGGGTTTTGGGGTTTTGGGGTTTTGGGGTTTTGGGG